ACGTATAATTTGTTATATATAATATAAGTGCAGTTTATAATCAAAATTGTACAGGTTTTTGATTTTATTTATCAAAACAAAACTTTAGCAGTTAATTATTAATTATGCATCTCTTATATTAACGACGACATTAAATGACATCAGATGTGGATATAAAAAAAACTTTTTTGACAACATTTTTTATAAGCAATTTGAGCTTAAAAATGCATTTTTAACATTGAATGCACTTAGATGTGTCAGATAAATATATGTTATAATATATTTTAATAACTCTCGTAAAAACTTTTGCTCCTCCTCTTTATCTGATACATTCCATTTTATGCTCCCTATAAATATGCAAAAGAATTTAACCTCTTATATTATATTATTATGTTGAAGCTGTTTTGAGCTAGTGCACTTAAGCACTTACACTCTTTTTTAACTCGATGTTTCTTCAAAACCCCTCTCTACACCTTGACTAGATTATTGTTTATCACTTCATCAGACTAAGCAATAATTGACCTCAGATCTACATACCTCCCCGAAAAGCCTGTAACCATTCTGAGATTTGATAACGCGGTGTTGGTAAGTCTGTCAGATTTCGCAAATAATTTCAGGGCTCTATCCTTTATTTATTTTTTGATGGGATCAATCTTGAGGTCCCTGAGGATGTCATTCGTTTTAATGTACCATGGTACTTCGAAAAGTCTTCTCAGAGCCTGGCTTTGTGCAATTTCTAGCTGGTGTATAGTAGTGTTTGAAGCTTTGCTAAATGCTACACAACCATATAGAAGTGTCGGACGAATTATTTGGTTATATATCAGTTTCCTGTTCTATATATTAATGGGTAATTATTTCAACAAACTTCACGTAACTATAAGTTTTTTACTATATAGTAACTATAAGTAATTTAAGATTCTTACTAATTTAATTCAAGTTTTTCCAAATGTATTTTTTAATTTTGACTTGAATTTAAACAAATATTTGTAAATATAAGCTTATGAACTGGAAATAACTTTTTCGAATTAGTTTATGATATAATCGAGGCAGGAATCTGGTATCACTATATTTTAGTTCAGGGTTATCCAAAGCATAACCCGCGGGGTTCATGCGACCCGCGGTTAATATTTGAGCGACCTGTCCCATGTTTCTAATCTACCACAATTAGGCAAATTTTTCTTTGCTATATTTTCATAACATAATATTATTTTATTTTTATGGTATCCCAAATAAATGAATTAAAATGTTTTATATAATTTATCATACTTCACATTCATTTACTAAATTGACAAAGACTTTAGTATACATCACAGGGCTTTGAACTGGAATTTTTTCCGTTTCGGTTTTCGTTCCAGATCAAAAGAAAAGAAATCGGTTCGGTTTCGATTTTCATTTCTGCAAAAATATCGGTTTTTGCGGTTCTCGGTGCGGTTATGGTTCATAGCCCTGGTATATATTTCTTTGTACAACTGGTTCATAAAATTAGGGTACATGGGTATACATACGGATGCGAACTATAGATTGTGTGAAGAGAATGAGAAGTCGGCAATACATATGTTGTTAGCATGCCCTGCGCTAATGCACATGTGAAATAGGCTCATCGGAATGTATATTCCTGCGGAAGAGGCAATAAAACTCTGTAAAGTAGGTTCTATACTACTTTTAATTAACACAAAACGACTTAGGAACCTACTCTAAACCCAGAAAGGAGCACAATAGAACCGACGGTCACATGTCCTAACAATAATAACAATAATAGTTGATGGGTCTACTTAAACAACGGTGATGGTTTTTCTATTTGGAGTCAAAATTTCACAACTGCATTTAAGTTTTTGATTGATTTTTTAAGCTGTTGTTGGTCGCCTCTGATTCGATGCTGGTAAATAATACTAGTAATGAACTCATGTACCATCCCTAAAAATCTTAATTATATAAATTCTGTTTGTGATGTGTAATTACCATCTAACAACAGTATATATCTTTAACACTTTGTTGTTTTCAACTGCAAACATTGCAAACAAATGCTGTATAAATTATATAGCTTATACATTTATGAATTATGGCTTAAACTCTCTATTAGTTCCTACATTAAAAGTTTGTTTTTCTATTAAAGAGGCACCCGTGCCCAAGAGAAAGTCAAAGTTAGAAGTATGGAAGCCTGGTAGAAATTGTGTTGTGATTTCATTATAAAAATTACTATATATTTGATAAGTCATTATTTTTGCCATTAATACATTACTTGGAGTATTAATATCATTTCCCACCAGTCCATTGTTTAATAAGCTTTTTAAGACCCATTTAAAGAAAAACTTTTATGTTGCGTTTCTAAAGAACGATCATTTTCTGTGTAAGCAGCGGAGACGTACAGTTCATATTTTATTTATTTCTATCAATATATTGTATTAATTTCTATTAATAATAAATTAAATGAATACTTTTGTACCTATAACCTTTGGTTTATTTGAAACTAAATATTTACATTCAAATCTACATTCACATTTGTTTATATCTTGTTTTAAGTAAAGCAAACCTCAGGAAGAGTGACAAACTAGTCTGAAGTCTTATAGTTTTATTACAAAAAAAATTTGTTTTCATAATCATATTACCGACTTAATCAAGTCGTCATGCCTCAGCATGACAATAAAATCGGTATATATTAATAATCTGATTAAAATCAATTTTAAATGGGCGTAGTTCTAGCCAGTTTTATTAGTGCAACCAGTGCTGCAAGCGATCAGTTTCAAAATTTTCTCACTGTAGCTACTCTTTTGTTGAATTAAAGTACATAACTAAATAATCAATTAATTTTAAAAAGTATATAAACCTGCTTAATTGTTTAATAATAAGATGCAAACATATTTGGTTCATAATTTATAATAATTGGTTAAAAAATATTTGAATAAATGTAAGAAAAACTGTGGAATTATTACTCATAGTAAAAATTTATATATCAAAAGCCGTTTTTAAATTTATTACTCTGTAGACCCGGACAACTTATCGAAACAATTAAATTATTAATTTAATACAATTTTATGCCACTTTTACATATGTCAATATTAAAAACTATTAGCAAACGAAAGGTGATAACTGATTAGATCAGAGCCATTTGTAATAGATTATAACTATATTTTGCATAATTTTCTACAATCAGTGGCGAGATACTAGTTAATTTCCATGTGAACAAGTCTCATAACTAAACCTAATCAGATACATAACTCTGATTCAATTATAGAGCTCTATCTGTTTAGTATCTACTAACTGCCATTAAAGATCTGAAATAATAAAGATTTATGGTTAACATAGAAAAACGTATAAACATATTCCAAACTTTCTAAATACTTTATTATAATAACAAACAGTCAAAAGTAGAACCGTTTAGGTATCTTCTTAAATACTGCGTAATCATATTGCATATCTATACAACCATGCTTTATAGTTTTTAATCTATCTCACTATTATGACATGAAAACTGTCAAGAGATAACAAAGATACTAAACATTTGACAGTTTAAAATCATCTAAAAAGCCCAGGTGAGGCAAAGATAACGAAAATTAATTTAATATGAGAATACACAACGCAAGTGATCATGGTCAAAAGCCGGTGATCCTCTACAAACGATTTCAAAGCCTAGATTGACGCCAAATAATGTTATGTTGAGTGTTTCGTGGTTGCTTGTTGCAATGGTTTATTCGGTCCTCCACTGCTTACAGCTTACTTCTTGGAAAAAACAATCAAGAAAAAGTGACCAGAGCAGACGAAGAATCACCATTACTAATAGGAGCTGTTATGGGTTCTGTAGGTAACTGGGATGTAGAGCTCTCTCTTCACAAACAAACTAACGATCTATAGATTGTTCATCTTTCCTGTGCTTCTGTATGACACAGAAGCATGGACATTATCACAGAATGATGAAACAGCACTGGGAGTGTTCGAGAGAAAAGTTCTTCGTAAGAACTTTCGTTATCTACGAGTTGGAGACGACTTCTCCACATATGAATAAATCACGAGCTGTACAAGCTTTATCACGACACTGATATAATTCAGCGAATTAACATGTGGCGGCTTCGCTGGTGTGGTCATGTCGTGAGAATTGATGAAGATGCTCCAGCGTCTTCAAAAAGGTGTTTGTAAAGTAGTTGGAGACAGATGGCGTGCGATAGAGGTAAACCGTATTTTCGTTAGAATGATCAAGTTGAGGGAGGACTAACCGGACTTGATGTACATGACTGGAGAAGGCGTACACGCAGCAGAGGCGCCTGGAGAGACATGCTGCTTGAAGACGACACCCAGTAAGTTATTACAATATATACCAAAAAACAGAATGCCTAAGAAAACGCCTACTCAAAATCAAACTTAAGTCCAAAAATGTTTAATATCTCAAAATCGATCCACCTAAATATATTAATTTGTTTAAGTTCTTTCCCAAATACTCTTTAATTTGATAACAAATACATTGTCGTACTTAGCGAATTGAAATGATTTAAATATTCTGATTAGGAATATTTTAGTCAAGAAAACTAAATATTTTTCGGGTTGGGGTTTCATTAACATCCAGTAATTTGACACAGGTTGAAAATAAATCCCGTTTTCATATATGATTTTTTCGTTTCCTGGACTAAATAATCACATTCCGCATTTATATTGTAATATAATGGAATATCGAGTAGTACACTCATTCATTTAAGTACCGTAATTCTACTGAATTTTTCATTGTTAAATTTTATCTAGAAAGAAAATTAACTGATGAAGAGTCGTTTCTGTACATCCATTGGAACCATAAAGAACAATCTTATAACGAAGAACGTTTAAATGAAATGCATTCGTATTTTTAAGAAAATTTTTATTTTTCACATTTTGTCTTAACATTTATTTACAATTACATAAAAGATATATATAAAATTAATTTATACACATATTAAAGAGAGAGATACATTCGCAGAAGTAATAATAATGATATAAGATTGTTTGTGTTGTTAGAATTATACAGCATTTTCCGAAAGAAAAGTATTAACTAAAAGTTGTGTGGCAGCTTCGTTGAAGTTTGCGTTTTATTCTTCCACTTCAAGACATTTCAGTGCTTACACTGCAAGAAATTATGAGTAATTGTTGTTCTAATTGTTTGATGAACATAAACAGAATATCACAATGTTCAACAAGGTACAGATCATTTAACTCTCAAAGTTTCAACACAATTTTTTCCAGTGTAAGCGGTGAATGTTCTCCAATTTTTTGGAAGTTCATTGATAAATGGACTGCAACTAAATTGTTTGTAACCAGAGATATTACAAGCATTTAGTCGCAGGTTATCCTAAACTTCTTCGATCTTTTGAATAGACAGGGATGTCAAAACTTTCGATTTCGATTTTGCTTAAAAACAATGGCAAAAATTCTAGTTGCGTAAGAAATAATTTACAATAAGCAACTTAAAAACTAAGTGGCAGAGATAAAGTACAAATAATTTTCTGATAACAGATTACGACTTTAATTGACTTTGGGTCATAAGATGATTTTCAGCAACTCGAGTGTTGTTTACTCCAGTTGAAGTCGCGTGAAATTTGCTTCGTTGGTGGTGCAATACTATATTAACTAAATTCAAATTACTGTATGTGTTCTTGACGAAGTCGGCATCATTATTTATCATATCCAGTGCGTTCCTTGTAGCAATTTGCTTGATTTGTTAAAAAATTAAAACTATCATTCGTATTAAAAAAAAATCATTTACAACATATTTTTGTTTTTGGGTTAGTTTGAATACATCTATTTCTTCTTGTGTGCATAACCGTATGATCCATGTCCATACGACTCATGACCAGTTGAAATAAGGGCTGCGCCATGACCACTAGATGAAAAGCCATGTCCACCATATCCGCTTGAAGAGAAACCATGTCCGCCACCTGAAATGATAGCGCCACCATGTCCGCCGCTAGAGATTAAAGCGCCTCCATGGCCACCGCTAGAGTATATAGCGCCTCCATGGCCACCACTAGAGATCAAAGCGCCTCCATGGCCACCGCCAGAAAGTAAAGCGCCACCATGACCATAACCGGTACCAATTGCTACGGCAGCTGGTGCGTGCTGTACAACTGAATGGCCGGCAACAACAGGGACGGCTACTGGCACAGCTACAGGTCTTTCGACAGTGACAGGTACATGTTTAGTGACATGCACTGGATATGGACGATCTACTGGTACTTTAACATGCACTGGTACTGGACGGTCGACTGTATATGGTATATGTTTTTCTACTGTGTATGGTTGTGGCACTGGAACTGGTACTTTCACAGGATATGGGCGATCAACAGGTACTGGATATGGTCGGTCAACGCGTACTGGTACCTCAACCTTGACTTGTCTTTCAACGACTACTGGATATGGCTTTTCAACAGTAACTGGATATGGTTTTGGTACTGCAACTGGCACTGGACGATCAACTGGCACATGTACAGGTACTTTGACATGTTTAATGACTTCGTAGGGTTGTGGTACTGGTACGGGTACCTTGACAGGTACTTGGACTTGTTTAATAACTTCATAGGGTTGTGGTACTGGTACTTTTACGGGTACTTGCACATGCTTGATTACTTCGTAAGGTTGTGGTACTGGTACTTTAACTGGATAAGGACGGTCGACATGTACTGGTACTTTCACTTCAACGCGCTTTTCAACAGTATAAGGTTGTGGGACATGCACGGGTACTTTGACGTATTCCTTAACATGAACTGGCACTTTACGTATAACTTCATAGGGTTGTGGCACTGGTACCTTTACTTCAACTGGTACACGTCTTTCATGCACAACAGGATATGGGCGATCAACGGTAACTGGTACTGGCACACCTTTTGTAATTGTTATTGTTTTCTGCACATCGGCATGTTTACTAATTAGGAATTCTGGATGCGCAGCAACGGCTGTATGTCCGTAACTAACAGCTGGAGCAGAATGGCCAATAGCAATGGCACCACCACCATGTGAGAGACCATAACCATGACCGGCAACTGAGCCATGACCAATATAACCAACATCTAAACCTGAGTGTCCATAGCCATAACCTAAATCGAGCAAACCGCGTTTGTCAAGTTTTTTTTCTAGGGGTACTTTTTCAGCAGATTTCTTGGCGGCAGTATCACCGGCGTAAGCTGATGCCACAAGTAAAGCGGCTAAACAGAACTAAAAATAAAAAAGAAAATTTATTACAATCAGTAAATTAAATTAAAATTATTTTAAAATTAAATTTATTTCAAATAGTTAAATAAAATTATGTGCATATAAGCAAATTATATATATTCTATAAAAATAAAATATGTTAAATATAATAAGGGCATCGCTAAACCAGCCATTGGTAAAACTTCTTGACTTATAAAAATGGTAAATGTAAATAATATAATATAAAAGAAAAATAAAAATAAGTGGAAATGTAAAGAAATTTATATTACCAAAAATAAATAAGCTGCATATATATAAAGTTATATTTTCCATTATTAAAAGTACGATATATTTATATATTACATCTGTTATAAAAAAAAATTTTTGAGATAAATTATTAAACGTTTTTATATTTTGTTGGTTTATTTCAAAATTTATTTAAATAGTATTTTTATTAATAATTATAAATAAAATTTCTTTAGAATTGCCAAATACGGATACCTTAACTTAATAAGAAGAATTATTATAAATGCTATTAAGTTAAATAAAATAATAGTATAAAAACAAAAATGAAAATATTAATAGGAAAAATTAAATTATCTATAAATAATTTAATTTAAAAAAAATATAATTAAAAAATAAATATTTTATTTTTTTTAAATAATTTTCTTTAATCATAAAAAAAAAATTTTAAAAAAAAAAAACAAAATTAAATTTTATATTAATTTTTCATTTTAATTTATATTAAATTTATTTTAAATACAAATTAACATTTTTTAAATAATTCAAATTAATCAAAAATATATTAATCAAAAATATAAATATATCCACATATTAAATAATATAATTATATATAATATAATTATATATTATATATATAATATATACATATAAAAATATTTTTAATAATTATACATATAGTTAAAAATATAGTATATAGTTAAAAATTACTTTTAATGACAATTATATAACATATGTGTAAAAATACATTCGCGGAACATAAAAATCAAAATTTAATAAAAGTCGTATAATTATTAAATAAATAAAATAATAAATTTATATAACTTAATGATAAATAAATTAATAACAAATTTTATATAATAAATTTTAGTTAATAAAAAAGGTGAAACTTTGATTTTTTTTAAAATAGATTATAATTAACCAGAAGTCAGAGATGATACTTAGAAGAAGTTTTAAAAAAATTGGTTTAATTGTTTGTATTTTTTTAATATTTCAAAATTTTTAAATTACTATAAAAATATAATAATCATAATTATTAATTAAATAAACCAAAGGAATTTAGAAAAAATATTTCTAGTGTACTAAAGAAATAATTAATACGTTTATTATTTTATATATTCATTAAGTTTTTTATATTATATTAATAATTAATTATACTACATATAATTTCATAAATTATATTTATAAATTAATTTTATATGGAATATTATAATTAAATATTATATAGCATATAATAATATTTAATTACTATACAAATAAATGAAAATCACAATTAATTACATGTAAATTATATCATATATAGGAAATAGCAAAAAACATATTTATTTTGGCAATAAGACAACTCAAAAATTTACAAAAAAATTAAAGAAAAAATATAATAATAAAATAAAAATAAAATTAAAAAAAAAATATAAACATAAAAAAATAGGAATAAAAAAAAAAAAATTGAAAATAAAAATAAATTCAAACTTATAAAAATATAAATAAAAAATCTTTATTTAAAAAAAATATTGATAAACATAATAGTAACATTAAATATTGAATTAAAAGTATTGTATCAATGATAATTTTATTAAATTCGAAAATCCGTGATTCAGAAATTCTTACGAATATTCTAATGAAGTAGTAATAAATGCTTTTATTAGTGACATTGCAAGGATAAGTTAGATATCCATTTACTAGACTTTTCACTTTAAAGCGTTTTCATTATATACCAAATATTTACATTGTTTCAGTAGCGTATCTAGGAGGATTAGTAGGTAGTTCCATTCCTTGACAATATAATTTGCAGATGTGACAACAAATATGCTGACAAAAGAAATATTTTGTAGTAAGTCCCTCCCTTGACATAAAATTGGCTATGCCATTGCATTATTTATATAAAACAGCAATTTATAATATCGTGCAGAGAGGATTAGGAAATAGATCCTAATCTTCTCTTAACGCACCACTGCAACAATGTAAAAATTTTTGTTATAGAAAACATGATATTGCTAACTTTTGTAATCAATGCAATAGCATAGGGAGCCAAGGGAGAGACATACTACAAAATAATTCTATCTAAAAAGGAATCTAACCTTTCTTGACAGTATTCTCTACATATAAGACAAAAGAAATATTTTCAAGTAAATCCTAATTATGCCATTAAATGGATTACACAAATTATGATTTACAATATCGCGTTTTTTATATAAAAATATTATTGGAATATGGGTAACCCAAGCCTAACTACGGGGGAACCGCCTTCTTGATCACGTAGCCCAATAGCGTAGAATTAAAAGTCACATCGGAGAAACCATATCCGTATTATATGAGTTAATTGCACAAAAAGCTCACTCAAGATGCAATTCGAATCTGTGGGGCTTTTTGTAAGAGGCATTTATACTATATCCAACTTTAACTCAATTTTTTAAGGTTACTTTCGTTCTATCACAAATTTTGTTAACATTTTTTTTTTTTTGACTAAATAACACTCTAAATGGTATTTATTACCAGTGCATTAATACCTATTGTGTAATATCTTAGCAATTTCTTGGTTATAATTATTGAATTGGAACTAGTAATAAATTTCAAAATTAAACGCAGAAAATGTTTAAAAAAGTTATATTATTTTCACTTTTTTCACATCGTTAAAACAGTACTGGGTATGGGTATTGAAAATATTATTTTAAATTTAATATGCGTAGTCTATACAGTTTGCATAATTAATGATCGCATTACTTAATAACGCAAACGCAAACACCACCTCCAACGCCAACTGGTAGGGATTAGACGAATAGTCGAAACCTATGACAATTTCTTACATTTGAAAGCTTAAAAGCGAAAGTAAAGCTATGAAGTGTTTTGGTTGGTAAGTGGTATTACCGAGTGAAATCTGATAGAGTCATAAGACGTGCGTGACCTGCCATTATGGGTAAGCTGTTGACGGACCCATTCAATTTACCATAGAAGTGTAATAAAAATCAAATTTACTGACGGCGTCAAATATTATTTGAATTAAATTAAAGCAAGAAACGAGAAGCAAAAAACAGTATCGCACCTGTTACCAGATTACCAGCTGAAATGTTTGCAATGTTTAAGACATTAATTAAATATTCATAACATGACAATACATAAAATTCATTGTGGCGAATGTGCCCAGTTAGCTGAGATAAACGAGTATATAATAGGTATTTACATATCTACGCGAAGTACACGGCAGCTTAATAATCAGCTTTGCGGTTGTAGGAGCATTCACTTTTCGACCAAGTTTTTTTCCCGGTTGTAGATACTCGTATATAAACCAACAGCTTGAAAAGCAGCAGGTAGAGACAGGAACTGTATGTATGTTATACTGAGCCACATACGTACTATATACAAATTTATACAGACTGAACGCACTGCGAAAGACGGATCGCCCGTCAGATAGGCAGACAGGCAGACAGTGGTAGTATTGCTTCTTTACCGGCTTCGGCGTTCGTAGATGGCTAAAGCATATGGCGTACGGTTTTCGTAGTGATTCATTGTTTTGGGTTGCCTTCTTTGCGAGTGAGTTTCTATGAATGAATTTTTTTCAAGACCTTTTGTTTTTTTTGTTTCTTTTTTATTTTGATTTTTATTTACGGTTTTTTTAACTTAATTTTATGAAGTCTTTTTGTTTTATAGCCAGTTCAGCGTACCTTTGCGATTTGTAGCTTTTGTTTATGTTTTCAAAATTGCCGCTGAATGAATTTTATGTTTTGGCGCACGCTCGGTCCAGTTGTGGTTTGCATATAAAAAATAAAATTGCTTCAGGCAAAGTTAAGACTTCGAGGCGTTAAGACGTTAAGACGTTAAGACTACGGCTACATAAAAAAGTTGTTGTTAATAATTTTTTATTTTCTTGCTTTTAACACTTTTTTATTTGTTAACAAAATTCTTTTTTTTGTTTTTTTTTTTTTATAACCAAAACGATTTACACATAATTTGTAAAATGGCCAAGTGCATGGCTAAATATTTTATGCTACTTTGACGTCTGTTTTATGCTAAATGCATCGCATGGTTTTCATTAAAAAAAAAAAGGTAAAATATTATTTGCTAATCATTTTATTATGGAGAAATAACGCAGAAATGATTTATGGACAATCAAAACGTTAAAGAAATAAAGTATCTATTAAGCATTGAGCATAATTGAATAGACCAGTTATAAAAGGTTCAGTGATTTCTTGCTTGCAAAAAATTATTTTTTTACGTAGCAAATTTATATTACAACAATGGGCGTAGGGCGTATCACGTTTATTTATTATTTGCTTTTGTTAATAATTTATTTAAATGTTATGCATCTTTGTTTACTGCTCATTTCTGAGAGTAACTATGCGTTAATCGTGTCATATTTCACATAACTTAATGTAAACCTACATTTATTTTATATATTACAACATATAACCAAAGAAAATGACTTTGCAGAGTAAAATAAAAAACGTAACTTATAAATAAATGACAACATTCAAAACTCTTTTAAAAGGCAGCCAAAATAGTGGATGTGTCCAAGATAGTGAACACACTATCCTTGCAAAATTTGGAACAACTTAAACAACTGCTCCTCTTCGACTAATAAAAGTTGTCTAACTCATGAATCTGTAGAGTAGGTAGAGTCTTCATTGTTGGTTTCTTTGTTTGGTGGAAGTGGTGACTCCGTATGAGTCTAACTCAAGCGTTTTTACACAAGAGAGTTTTCATTGTTGTGGTTTTTCTGTTTGGTGGCAATGGTGACTCCTCATGAGTCCAGTTTTCAAATTTTGTTATTAGGTTTTGTTGTATATACCAATCAGTATCTATAAAACTTATCTATATAATTCATGTAGGTCGAATGAACTATAACAAGTATAATTAAATCTGTTTATCTTTTAACGTACCTACGTCAAGAAAATAATTTATTTGTATACGGTCAATATCAGTTATATTGTATTCCTAGTTATCAAACCTCACAAATATATGGTATATGTACAGAGACTTCACAAAATTTTGGACAATCTTAAGCAAGCAATATGTGCTAAAAAATTTTCTCAAGAATCGCAAAAAATGTCTAAAAACTATATGAAAAGCAGACAACTTTTAAAATAAGAATGCATATAGCATTGAAGTCCTCATAAAATACTATATCATTAACAGAGAACATATCTAATAACATGATTATAGAGAAACACAGACCTACAAGAGACCTGTTTGAGGTCTACCACAAATATTCTTTAAAATCTAGTAAATTGGGTAAAGTTATGCTAACTAGACATAGACCTATATGGGTCTATATCTAGTTCTATTTAAAGTCTACCACATGAGCAGCACAGTTAAATATTAAATTGCTTTATTATGACTTTTTGAGTTCTTAATTGCAAAATAAATTATTTGCATATTAATCTAAATATATTTTTTATGGCAGAAATATACCAATATATCAAATATATACACGGAAACTATCATATTGGTGTATTAATATACAAATTCAGCTAAAAGCATATTAATAATAATAATAATAAATATTATTTTGCAAAGCAAAAGCATTATACGACTATAATGTTAGTGAAAATTATATACATTGTCTTAATTATTTAATTAAGTTTATATTTAATTAAAAAAAAAACATAAAAAACATAAACTATATTAAATAAAACATTAAGTTTATAATAAGTGGACTATTGATTTACAAATAGAATTTTGAAATTCATAAATGAATAATAATTTTCTACCAATTAATATATATTTAAATCAAAATTATATAAATTTTTTCAAACACATTTTTCAAACAGTAGCAAACTACAACAACAAAAAATTTTTTAATTCAAATTGCATTAAATTTGAGAAAATTTTAAATATCAAGTACTTTTTTATGTATCAATAAAAATAATTATTGAATACTATTAAATACATTTGATCATATCGATTGAAGATAGATACACATATAAAATATAATTATAACTCTTATTAATGGTCTCTATGATTAATAGTTTCTATGATCTACTGAAGTTTAAAAAATAAAACTCAATTAAGTTTTTAGAAGGCAAAAACGCACTAAAAAAATTATATTTAAATTAAAATGAAAAACAATAAACTATATATTTAATAAGTCATCAATAGCATTTATGTACATTACTATTAAAAATATAAAACTATTTTAGAGTTGAGAGAAATTACAAGAGTCCTGGACTATCATTAGAACAAATACTAGAAATGCCTAGTAGATCTATTTAGTTATAGAATAGAAATTGACATGGTACTGGCTCCTAACGGAGCAGACCATAGTTGATTTAGGTCTATTTAGGTCTATGCACAATAAGTATTCTGTGTCTGGCGATCTGTATCTGTATCATATTACATTATATTGATACATTATAATAACATAACATATTTATTATTATATATCATATAATAGGATAACATATGCATAAGACATGTGGAAGAGATGTATAATAAATTGTAATTATATATACTACAATAATAATGGTATATATAACATTATCTAAGGTATAAAACTGTATATATATATATATATTACCATAAACGTATTATTATTATGTTATACAAAAATATATAATAAATTGCAAAATATAATATGTACTTTAAAATAATATTATTGAAACATAATATTAGTAATATTAGTAATATTAAAAAAATATATCACATTACTCGAAATATTTTTTAAAAGCCAAATTAAATAATAAGCTATATAAAATGATTTCTATTAAAACATTTCATGTCGTTTTAATATATTATAGAAATATCATCATATTGTTAAAATAATTTTATCAAGCCAATGAAACAATTACCAATACAAAATGGAATATAAACAACCTTAAGTATAATGTCAAATACATTTTTATGAAAACTCAAACTAAATTTAATATAAAATTTTAAAATCATCTGAAAAATTTTATTAAAATTTTATTAATTTTTTTTGTATGGAAACACTTTTTTGGCTTAACATATATTTTTAACATTTTTAAACCTGAATCAAATGTTATTTTTTTTGAATTATTGGAGTAACTTGAAGTCACAATTGTCCTTCATGCATAACTGTAGTGTTCACTTTGGAACCATTTTGTATGATTCTGTAAGACCTTAAGTCCTTAAATAGGTTCAGCTTTAACTTTTGACACTTTTATTCCATTTTGCATTTTCGCAGATATCAATGACTTAATAGTATATATTTCATATTATTATTTTCTTTATAACACTATATAATGTGATATAGTTTAATATATTAATTACTGCTGAATAGTCTATATGACTTATTTTTTATTATTATATTATAAACATTTAATACTCACAAATAATTTCATTTTGTATTTCTTAAAAAAAAAAACTTCTTCAAATCAACAAAGCTCAATGGCAAATACGGCACTGTAAAATTATATAAATGAAATTTTTTTATTATTTTTATTTTTTTTATTAAATAATAATTGCAAATTATTATTAAATTAAAAATTATTATTGTAAAAAAAAGCACTTCAAAATTTTTTATGAATTTGTGTAAGCACCTCTTTAAAAACGAAACACACTCGTAACCAATAAATAACTAAAGGATTGTAGAACCGCTACGATTCCAAACCTTTGACTGGATGCTGAGTTTAGTTAGACGGGGGCTTTTATACCCTGACCATATTTCCAAAATAAACCATGCCACCTAAAGAGTTTCAAGAAATTTTTTGAGTAAATGAGTTCAGTAATCAAAAGCTTTTGCAGTCACAGAAATCAAAGAAATAAAGCAGCAAAGTCAAGCCCACTGGAGTTGAAAGTGAGAGTGACGCTCAGCAGTTATTTTCAAGCTTGGCTTAAGCATTTGTAGGCTGTTTGCGTGCTCAAGAGTGCAAAGACCAAAAAGCTTTTTGCAGTTTGAATGTATTTAGTCGATCGTTTCTTAGTGTGTGTGTGTGCTAAGCGGTGCAATTTACTAACACTAAACAATAAATTTACCGCGTCTTCATCTAAATTTAATGAAGTTTTATATTAAATTATACTTAAATAAAAAACTATATATAATTATAATTTATTTTTAAATAAACTATTTTTTTTTAAACTTCATTTAAATATTATATTATATGTGTTATTTAATACTAAACACAGACAAATTTTCTTTTACAATTACAACTACAAAATTCTCTAAGCACTAACACAACTTTGAAGTTTTCTTTGTATTGAAATCAAGCTTGGTTTTATGTTTACAACCTTCGCAAAAATTTGAAAAGCTGTACAGAGTTTCACTAATACCCATATATATTCAAAACTAACTCATACGATCTCACAACCTCACTAAGCCATTAACAAACTTACTAAGATCATCTTGCTTAGCTTTTCCCGCCAAAAAAACGTAACTTATGTTTAATTAAGCAAAAAAATTTATTTTCCTGGAAATAAAATTGAATTAAACATCAATTGTTTGTTCATGTGTTCTCCTAATTACAACCAAAATAGACATTCCTCGAAATTTATTTTAGGAATACAATGAATTTCAAGAAATAAATATTTTTGTTAAAAAAAATTGACTTTCAATGATTAAATTTTAAGCGGAAAAACTATTATTAACATTTTTAGACGCATTCCTTAGCAACCAATGCTGAAATAATAGTACTCTATTGTGATTATACATTTTAGATAAAATAGTACAAATAGTAAAGGACTATAATAGAACAACAGAAATTTATTTATAACAAAAACTCATTTTTATATTATTTAAATTAATTGAATTTTTGGCTGACCACACAGCTGTTTTGAGTATTGCCAAATATCCATCAACAGTGATCTGGGAAATAATTCTTATATTTAATTATTCGTAAATAATTTTTTTTTTTAAACTGCAAATACCTCGTGCCCTGCCACATTTGAAGCTTAGAGTCAGCGCTCTTTAACCAACTGCTCCTAACATTTTTATGTTCGCACATTTTTCTGGAGTTTTGTTAATTTGCTGTGAAAGTTTTTTATTAACACATTCACTTGCTGTAATTATATTAGAACGAAATCATAAACCAGCTGTAGAATAATTGAAATATTGAATAATAAAAGAATTTTTCATTAAGAAAATTTTTAGTTAACACAGCAGTTTTGACTTAACAAATAGTTGTTACTTCTAGTAGTCTATTTATAATATTTGGGCTGCAGGAGCCAGCAGGAGTTAGCTTAGAACCTATTGAATTGATGGCTTTAACTAACATGTTAACTATTAAAAATAAGTCTGCATTCAACTTACGTTATTGAGTTATAGAAGTCTATCAAAACTTAATTTACTCAGAAAACAACATTTAGTAGTCCCTTCACAATATTTGGACTACAAGCACCAGGTTAAAGACCTATCAAACTATTGACATTAACTACCATGTTAACTATTAAAACTGATTCTGAGCTTCACTTTTGGCAGGACCCGAATTCAAATCCTGGTTCTTGCAGTCTCAAAAAATAATTATTTACGAATAATTAAATACAAGAATTATTTTCAAGACCACTGATGATGGGTATTTGACAATACTCGAAACAGCTGTATGGTCAGCCAAAAATTCAAAATTCAATATATGAATACTTAACCAACCATTGAATACTAGAATACATAACAGTTCCTTTAATCAAAGATCAATCACTCAAAGTTAAAGACCCTTTTAATCAAATTAACTATGAAATGTAATAGTAGTAATTTTTTGTCTAACACAAAAAAGATATTAATTGTATTATATTATTCCTTAAACATAATTAATATTAAATATTAATTATTATATTATTTTAAATATTAATTTTTTAATTATTTATTTTTCTCAAAATAAAAAGTTTAATCAATAATATAGCACGCCGAAGATATTCAAAGATTATATACATATAAAACATATACTTGTCACACATTATCAGGAGATGTGGGTATAGAGATTTATTATACTGTTCAATTATGGTCTATATTAACTGAAGCCTTAGAAAGACATTTAATTTCCAATACAACTTCTATACGAAACTCTCTTTATACAAGATTTTATTCATATATTAGTTAGTGCATGATTGTGGCATTATTATGCATTCCACATAACCCTTTTTTTTTGTATTAAGTTAATAGAATTTCACTGATTTGAGTAATAGATAAGTTCATTTATTGCAGTGCTCTTATTGAAGAGCAAAGACGGATGATCAAGAACAGACACCCCAAAGTCATACGTCGATATGAATTAATACGATTATATACTCGATACGTTTTTGTTGTACCAAGTACTTTTCGTTTTCGATTATTTTTTGTAAATTAGGTAAAGGAAATAAAGTAGTGCCAATAAAAACATATTTTAATTAAACTGTACTGTTGCGGGTTCCCACAACTTCTACAGTAAGGGTTATAAGAAATGCACAGTTTCTCTGGCTGTGCTCCTATACACCAAAGAGCAGAGAGAACTCCAGTAAGCCTTGCAGTGCTCATGCAGTCTCCTTTGATGAGTTCCGAGGATCTAATTTTATTATAGGTGGGCTATCTTAACCTGAATGTTGAACATAAGAAACTTAAGAAAACAAGGTATAATAACTAAGATTATGCCATTATTCCATTGCTTTATTCCATATAAATTATATGTACACATTACAGCAAATATTTTAGTTGTTTTATCTATCACTTTATTAGGTTCTTTGAAAAAATGACAGATTCAAAAAATTATCTAAGAATTCTTGGATGAGTACGTATAAATACTAAGTACTACATAGAACTAGTACGTGATAATGATGACCTAAACATATAAGTAGCCAAATGAAAATATGACGAAACTGTCAGTTGTTTTAATCGGTTTTTTGATTTTAAATAGTGATAGGGGAAAAAGGGTCTAATGATAAAAGCTTTTATAGATTTACCAAAACAAACTGACTAGGAAAAGGATAATGACTATAATTTTTAAAAATAATAAAAACATTACCTATATTTTCACAATCAAATTGATTGGCTTTCACTGCAATGGCGCTTGTTGTTAGGAGGAGTAAGGACATATTGCTGATTGACTATGTCGCAAAATCGTACGCAATTTAAAAGACCACCAAGACTACTGATTATGGGTATTTGTCAATATTTGAAACAGTTGTTTGGTCAGCCAAAAATTCAATTAAGTGGTTCGAAAAACCTCTTCAAAACAAAAGTATTAAAAAAAAAATAAAGTCGAATACTCGAAACACAGTTGTATGGTTAGCCAAATTTCAATAAATTAACTAAATTTTTGTTGTTGTCTTTTCATTTCTATTCGAATTATTCTAACTTTGAAATAGTTTCTGTTTGTCATAAGACAAGAGATACATTGTGACCGAAAGGTTTTCGGAGGTTCTCATTTAAAATTCGCGCGCTGTATATTTTTCGATATTTTAAGTTTATGTAGTTTGCCAGCACTGTCCTTAATTACTATGCCAAAAATGAGCGCGATCTGTCGGACAGTTCGTTTACGGCAGCTGTTGAAACCAGTTCACCTCAGTAGTGCGTTGCGAAAAAAACAATGGAAAAAAATATTGAACAAAGAGTTTGCATCAAATTTTGTTTTTCGAACGAAATTTCGTGTGCAGAATCGTTGCGAATGCTACAAAAGGCTTATGGGGAATCAGTTTTATCGAAAACTCAAGTTTATGAGTGGTACAAAGCCTTTCAGGACTGTCGTACGACCGTCGAAGACATGCCGCGTTCTGGACGACCTTCGACCTCTACCACCGACGAAAACATTGAAAAGGCAAAGGAAATCGTGTTCAAAAATCCTCATGTGAGTGTTAGAGAGATAGCACGAGAGCTAGGCATCGGTCGTGAGATGGCTCGTTTGATTTTGGTGGACAATTTGTGTATGCGACGTGTCAACGCCCGGCTTGTTCCGATTCACCTCAATTTGTTCAACATTATCAACGATTTTAAGGCCAAACATTCAATAAATACCATCGAACAGCCACCGTATTCACCTGATCTTGCACCGTGTGACTTTTTCCTGTTTCCCAACCTCAAATTACCACTCAGAGGAACGCGTTTTGAATCCATAGAAGACGTAAAACAGAATTCGCAGAGGGAACTCAAAGCCATACCGGAAAGCGCCTATAAAAAATGTTTTGATGATTGGAAAGAAACGTTGGCATTTGTGTATCGCTTCCTAATGGAGCATATTTTGAAGGAGATAAAATAAATATTGATGAAGATTAAGAATTTTGCGTTTTATTTATTTATGACCGGAAACTTTTCGGTCACAATGTATTTCATGTTTTTAATATATACTCATAAGTATACATATGATTTTATTTTTATTCTTTCTTTTTATGTAGACTGATATAGTTAATTATACAGTTAATTAAGAAATGAAGTCAATTTTATTTAATTATATGTTAAAAACGTGCTAAACAAATCGTAATTATGTCGATCAATGTCGATCACAGAACGTACAAAAATGATTTATGATGACCAATATTCTGCGAAATTTTAACAATTTTTTTTTTAATTAATTAGTTATTATTAATTAAGTTACCACATGTTTTTCTAAACATTTTTTTGTTATTGAAATGTTCGTGCGAATATTTTCAGTTCATTTCCTTGTTATTGGCATGGCCGATATTACCAAATGAAATAGTTTGGCTACAAAGCCA